ATTAGTAACTGCGCGCAGCGCTATTCCCTAGCTATCCCCCTTATGTCCGCCCCTCCAGGAGGGATCTGATTATCGAATTCCCCTCTCCCTAGCCTGCGTGGTCTCGCGCCCGAATTCCCTTCTCCTTCCCTTGAACGCCTTCCTCGCAGGCTACCTTCTCCCCGGCACGGCAAATGTGTCAAATAACAGGGGTATGCCACGTATAGGGGTGGATATTAAAGCTTTAATTTAACCGATGATACATAGTATAGCACTATTAACCTCGTTGTACCATTATTATACTTTGCACTCTTCCAGAGTCGATACGAGATGCTACAAAGGCAAAATATTTGCAATCAAATCTGCCGTTTATGTGCTCATTAAATCATTTCTGATAAAACCACTTACTGTATAGCCAGAAATAGGTGTTTTCAGTGGCAAGGAAATTTAGCAGAACAGCCTCCAAAGGCCGAATGGCTCTGAATTTTTGTAGTAAGAGAGTAGCCTCGACGGCGCAAAGAAAAGTGAGCAGGAAAAAAACAATCCGCAGCTTTTTAAAGCTTGAAACAGAAGTAGGGTTAGCGAAAGTTCCAGTTCAGTTCGAACTGTATAATGTCCCACTGGAAATTGCCTCATTCACCGAGTGCATTTCATTAGATGGACCTGTGAATTAAACATTTAAAATGTATACGTAGAAAATATATACAAAAAAGCCCTACCCCTGTTGCTCAGTTGCTGTGGAGCACTTGCCTCAGTGTTATTGCTTGATCAAGTTGCCCTTTTTTAATACTTCACACACCCCTTTCCTTTCATGTTACGAGCGTCGGGTATGTTAATCGATATTTCAATTCGATATGTCAAAAGTATGTATGTTATGCTTGGCAGACTTACGTTCTTGCATGTAAATAATATCTAGACCAATATTTGTGTCAAGGTTGAGGGAATTAAGACAAAAGCAGTCACACGGCGGTTCAATGATTGATATTTTCAATTTTGTCGTAATTTGTAATACCTGTCGCAATTTGTAAGAACTGCTGTAATTTGTAATAAAATAGCTGTCGTTACTTGTAATAACTTTGTCGTGATTTGTAAGAAACTTTAATTAGAAGATGTGCCTTTTAAAAATATTTCCAATTTTTTAAAGTCAGCTTTACCTGTTTTATTATTTACAGTAGGCGCCGGCTGGGCCCAAGCCTTAGGCTAGGCCTAAACTCAACTACAAGCAAAACATGCTCCAATACATGGTTGAATCGAAGTTGAAGAAGGGTGGATATGGTTGGTTTACCGTTGTTAACATTTTATATGGAGGGGGGGGGGGGGGGGGGGGGGACTTGGCAACTTTGTGGGTTGGGGAAAATGGCTTGTTTTTTTTACGGTTGGGAGGGTTTTGATTTAACTTACTATATATTTTAAAAAAATATGATGTACCATT